TTTGACCATGGTGCACCGTAATGGCACTCGGGAGAGTGTGTCAGGTGTTTCTAAGACACCTGATGTAATGGCAATAAGATGCCAACACAAGAGTCTATCTCCATAGTCTGCCAGCTGCTCTGTTCCTTTTTGGTTCAGGGGTTTTAACAAGATGTTACTGCTCTGTAATCAGTGTAAACTTCCCATACAAAATCTACTGGAATGACCTGGTTCCCCAGGAAAACACTCAGTGCTGCAGTTTCTGCCTAGCATTGCCCTGCTCTAGTGAAGGCTGTGGAAATGAAGTAAATTTCAAGTCTTTCTTTCTCACGGAGCATTTTGTTGCAGAGGATGGAGCTGGAAGGGGAGATGTCACCTGTGCACCAGTCTAGCATTGCCCTGCTCTAGTGAAGGCTCTGGAAATGAAATAAATTTCAAGTCTTTCTTTCTTTCATTTTGTCGCAGAGGATGGAGCTGGAAGGTGAGATGTTACCTGTGCAACACTGTGGGATCCAGACACATCTCAGGGTGCTACCAACACCGGCAGCATCTCCCACCAACACGTGCCTGCAAGTCAGCTGCTTTAGTGCCCCATCCTGCCAAGAGCAGGGAAACTGAGGCACCTGTGATAAGTTTTCCCCATTCATAAATCTTTACAGCTGCTTTTGCATGGAGCAAGATGCTTACGGGCATAGCCCAGCCTGACCTCCTGGTATTTGCCCGGGTGCTAAGACGCATACCCCTCTCCTTCAGAGGTGTGCCCAAGAAAATCTTGGAAATAAAAGGTACAAATTCAGCAGTGATTTGGAAAGGAAATGGGCGGCGTGTCAGGAATACCTGGTTGACCTCAACCACAAGGCTATATTTGTATTTGACTGTTGCATACTTTCATGATGAGGCTGTGTGCTCAGAAGTGTGTGCCCGAGGGCCTCGGCTGCCCGTGCTCTGCTATCATAGAGCTTCCCTGGGGAAGGAGCCCTGCTGCTCGTGTTGGTGACAAATCCCCTGACATTCCCAGCAATTAGCACGTTGATGCTGTGTTCCACATCCCTGCTAAGCTCGTGTTGCAGTTGTGCCCTTTTTAGGCAGGTTTCCTGAATACAGGTTAGCTTCTAGCCCTTCTCTGGAGGCTGCTCCCTCCATCCATCAGATACGGACATAGAAATCCCGGGAATGCGCCTAGCAGTGATGCTCTCCCAGTGCGAGGTGCCTTTTACCCAAAATTGCCTTCTTTCTCCCAAGACTCACACAAAGCAACTTGCCTTTGCAATCATGTCCCTTCTCTTGACTCAAACCCAGGCCTCCCAGCTGTGATTTCGATACAAAGTGCTTGCTTTGTATTGAAAGCTGCTTAATTGGCTGCTTTTCTTGCCTCTCCAGCCGAATTTGCATTAAAGAAAGACCTGCGATCTTTGGCATGCCCTCCTTAAGCCTCCATATATAGCCCATAGAGCTGGCAGTTCTCTTAACGCCCACATCTGTCTGTGCTCGCCACAGCTGATTTATGGTTAATATCTCGAAGGCATGTGGTGCCAGTCCCACGTTGAGCCCTGGATTGTGGTGGTCCGTCTGTATTTGTTGAAATCGGGCCCGAAGAAGCTGGCTTGGAGCGGAGACTGCGAGGAATGTGAGCCAGTGGCCGTCCAGACAGCTCTGTCAGCAAGCTCAGGAAACTGGCTGAAAAATACTGGGAAGAGGCCCAGATTTCAAACAACCTGCGGAGCTCTCATGAGAACGCACTGTTTTAAAACAGAAAGCTGAGTGATAGTCTTAATTACAGATTTAAGACGGCGAATGTTAATGATGCCCCTCTGCCCCAAATTGGGGTCAGCCCATAAGTAGACTCTGCTTTAGCACCGGGACCATCTTTTCATTGGGGTGCTGGTTTTCTCCCCAGGCAGAGATAAGGATGAGGACAATGTTGGGGTTCCACCAACCCGTAGCTCTTTGCAACAACAAACGATAGAGAAACGTTTTGTGAAGGGGTCGGCGTCCGTGTCCCTGTCACCCTTCCCCAGCGGTGACGTCCCCGTGCACGGTGGGTTTCGCCTCTTAACGTTGTCATCCGTTAAAAAGCAAAAAAGAAAAAGCCACCAGCACAAGGTCGCAGAGTGGAATGGACAGCTTTATCTGCAGGATTAATGAGCTTCCACTTCCAGTGCCCTTATATCAGGGACTGGGTGCCTCCGTGGCAGATTTAGCTAAGCACACACTGGATGGCTCAATATTGGAGCAGCAGGGTGAAATGCAAGAGTCTGTGTTGTTTCCTCGATGATCTAATGGTCCTTTTTGGTCTCAAATTTTACGAATTGAGGCCACAGATGGAATTTGGCATATTGTGTCCGTCAAGTCTAGCCTGGAAGAATGAATTACACCCTTTAATCATGAACAGGCACCTTGTCCCCTAATCTGCCTGTGCAGTTAAAATAGCACTTCTAGATACTTTCTCCTGAGAAATCTTTGTTGGATTTTTCTTTTTTATTTATTGGTCATGCGATTTTCGTTAGCATATCTAGAGCCTGAGAAATTGCACAGACTTAATATTGGGCTGCAATTCATTATATCTGACCATGCAAATCTGTATATGTTGGGACAGCCTCGCGTTTCTTTCTCATATCATAAAGCAGCTATCTGGTGTGCTGATTTGGACAGAGATTACAAACAAAGATCATTTAAACCTGTCTTGCTTTTTTGTTTGTTTGTTTTTATTACTGTCCATATTAATTTAGAGGATTTTGCCTCAGTCAGAGAGGTGAGATCTCAGAAGATCACTTGGAAAATGCTGAAAGGGGCCAACAAAATATAAATTGTGAAAGCCAAACGCAAGCTTGGTATGAGTACACTGTTTTATTTAATTTCAAAGTATTTCGTGTGAATGGAAAGAGGATTCTCCCTATGTTTAAAAGCTGATTTTATTCCATGTATCAGTTCTTTACAAACCTTTCTGGATGTCAGTGATGAAATTAGGAAGGAGAATAAACAGAGAAATGCATGAAAATAAGGTCTTAATAGTGACTCACAAAGGTTAAACAGGGTAAAGCTTTGCTCGTAATACTAGTTAGAGGTTAAAATTATGTTGGTTTTCTAAAACTGTAGCTATCGCTGCATTTCAGAGAGATTATCTGTTAAATACATGCTTCTTTTGGTCGGCAGCCTGGTGACAATTTATGCCAACTGGCCTAGAGACCATGAAAATTAACGTGGACTTAGTCTTGATTTGCTGTTAGAAGTGTGTGTTTGAAAAGCGTGGGGAAGAGGGAGAAGAGACCTCGATGGAATGGAAATCCAGTGTAACAGAGCACAAGAATATTTAGTACCTATATTTAGTCCTTGCTTATCCCCAGTCTGTTACAGGCACTGAATGCTGGCCTTGATGGGGAGCAGTGGAAGAAATTTTGTATAATTTAACAAGCTCTGAACAAGGCCTCAAATTACTACACCAGGAATAAGGAATTGCAAAGAACTTCTGGGGTCCGGTTCCTGTTTTTAATTACTTTGCTCCTTACTCAGCTCCTTCTGCAGGAAGGTTGTTCCAACATGTCTTGCTGCCAATGGAAATGACTTAGTCTGAAGAAACAGGCAAATTCAGCAAACTAAACTTTTCCTCCTCAGCTCTTAGCTGCATTTCTGGGCAGCATGTGCCATGTTTGCCAATGGTGTTCTTTATCCAAGGAGTTCTCCTTCCCCTCTGGCATTTCACCCTGGAAGCCATCTCAGGGGACACTCGTGTTCCTGCTCCATCTGTGCTAAGCTAAATAAGTCTCTTGGGAAAACCTTTTTCTCCCTTTTCCACTCGACATCTCCATAGCTTCCCATTCCATTGGGAGCAGGGAGGGTGAGGGCAGTATCTTGCACCGTGGCACCCACACTTTCCTCTCTCCATTGCATTTATTAGCTTTTCACCTGCCTCTTTCACAGACGGTCACACTGGCAGCTGATAATCCCACTGGGAATGAGTATTTATGTTTGGTTTCTCTTTTCCTCTGTCATTTCCTACCACTAAATCCTGACTTGCAGAAAATCTCACTGCTGCTCCCTCAGTGTATAGCTTTATAGCTTGCAGTTTTAAATTTAATCTCTTTTCTATTACTTTGACCTTCAAGATCCTCTAGTTCTTTCTGGGTGATAATGATGATCCTCCTCTGTAACGATTAGGTTTCCAGGGTTGATTTTGCCTCTTTCTAGTTGTTGTCTGCACTTTACTACTCATAGTTGTTAATGAGAACACCAAATAAAATTGGTCTCAGGTTGGATTTTTGGGAACTGTCTGTAACCTCCAAAATCCAACCCAAAATCCAGGCAATACCACCAGGTCCTGATCAGCACCTTCTCACCAGATTGCAGCTTGGTGCAATCATCATCTTCACGTTAACCAAGGGCTTCATGCAAAGCTCTACATCCTTTCTCACCTCTGTCTAGAGAACCGTTAAATATAAGGGAAAACAATCAAGTTAGAATTACCTTGGGTAAACTTGCATCACATTTTGATTCCTCTCTATTTAACTGGTTTTTATAATCATTTTCGTATCTTTTTTTTGTTTTCTTAACACATTTCAGATTCCTAAGCTCCTCTTCAGGGCTCTGTAATTGCTCAGCTCACCCCAGTTAGGCAGACTTACTTATATCCCAGGTAATGCCAGTTCTTCTGCTCTTCCAGGTGATTTTCCTATTCTTTTCCCCTTGGCACACTGATTTCAGCACACTGAATCCTCCAAGTTTTTCTCCCACCTCAGATGCAGTAACCTCCATCCTAGACCCTCTTTCCGTCCAGCCTTTACCCCATATTCTCTATACTCTTACTGAAAACACATGCAACGTATTTATTCAATTTGGGGAGTTATACTTAGTTTCTTTTAATCTCAATGCCATCCTTAGTTCATAGCATCCCCGTGTCTTGTCTTGTTCTCTTTTAATTCTTCTGGTTAAAGAACTTTTGTTTATTTTAATATCCTTTGCAAGGTCTAGCTCAGCTTGACTTTTGGCAATTCTCGCTTTACCCCCGTGCTCGCTGACCTCCAAAATGCAGCTTCCTTTGTAGATTCATCTCTTTTTTCCATTTCTTCCAGGCTCTGTGCTTCTCCCTGGTATCCTCTATGAGGGGTATTACTCAGCTCTGGACCCTTCAAGATTTTCCTCTATTTTTTTTTTTTTCAGTGTGAATTCCCTATCTGTTTCACACTTCTGGTTAAGAGAATTTCCAAACATCCAGTAAATATAAGTCACCAAAAGCTTTGCTTGTGCAAATTTTGCTAATTGGTCCCTTTAACTCTTTGAAATAAAAGCAAGGAAGGAGACATGATAGCTGAAACCATGGGGAGTTTATTTCATTCATAGAGTCAGCTCAGAATGACTGAAAGTCTGTTCTAATTCCAAGAAGTCCTTCCTAAGAACAGGAGCAAGGCTCAAAACATATTTTCCTTTTGTGACTGTCTGGTGAGGAAATCTATTGGCCCTACTCTCATGATGATGTGTAACATGGTGGAGCTTAAATAATGGATCAAGATATTGTGAGGGACTGAACTGGAATATTATAAAAGAAATATAATAAAACTCCCTCTGATTCAGGAACTTACCATCAAATTCTCCCAATTTCAGCATTTAAAATTGAGAAGAAACTTCTTATGACTATTGACATCCACTGTAACTTGAGTTCCTGAGCTTAGGGAATCAGCACAGTGTCGAAATCTCACTTGACCACACATATATAGACCAGCGAGACCAGGCTGTATAAATTAGTGGCTTTAGAGGTGCTTTCTCACCTGAGCCACACTGCTTGAAACCAAGAGCATCTTCTTTGCTTGCAAGAAAGTTCCACAACATAGTCTGATGGTGAGGAAACCAGAAATGAAGTTACTTGTTACTTGAAAATATTCCTTCAAAACACTATGCAAACCAAAATTATAGTTTTTAAAGTCAGTATTTATGAAAGGTGCCTGCTTTGGTGGTCATTTTTAATTAAAAGCTTGCAGACTTTCTACAGTATTACCAATAGAAATGGGGATGCCTTTTAAAAGTTATTCTCCCCTTTTTGCAATTTCGTTTTGCATTTGTGGCGAAAGTTTGCGAAGGCATGAGTAATTTTTAGGAAAATCAAAATTCTTCTTTTTTGCCCATAGGAAGAGAACGTACAGGACTGAGCTCCAAACTCCCCACTGGCCTGAGCTCCGTTTTTCCTTTCCAGTGATGCTTGTGCACACAGGGGTGAACAAAGCAGAGGAACCCGCAGCCCCTGTCCTGCAGAAACGCCAAACTGCAAATGAGGCGAAGCAGCTAAAACTCATTGAGATGCATGAGGGTGGAGGTTGCACAATCATGACTTGCTTAATCCTATGTTACTATTTGTTTTATGCTTGCAAAATCTGAATAAATATCCAGGATCATATTTATTCAGCATCTCTGCCACAGAATGTCGTGGGGGCAAAAGAATGCATTCAGGAAAGGATTAGACAAATTAACGGGGGATAAGTTCACTGGTGGCTACTAAATACGAGATGCTGGATGCAGCATCTGGTTTGCTTAGCTCCCAAGCTGCTGGAAGCTGGAAGAACAAACCAGGGAAAGGATCATTCTGTTCTTGCTCTTGTTTTTAACTTTTTTTTTTCTTTCTCCTTAAACAGTAACTTGGCTGCTGCTAGAGCCAAGATACTGAGATAAGGCATTTGCACTTTCACAATGTTCAAGTTTAAGTAGTCACATAACGCCGTGCTAAGCCCAGAGGCACCTTTCCTGCATGTGGTGCAGTCGTCTGCATAACATGGGTTCAAGACTGCACAGCTGCATTAAAGTTTTTATGATGCAAATGTTTTCATTTTGCTTTACTGTGAAGCTCGCTTGGATAATCCTGTTAACTCCAGTCTTGTAAGGTGACCTCTAAATATACCAATGGGTTTCTTGCAAAAACATAAAGTTTTACTTGAAGAATATGGGCATCATGTCTCTTATATTTGAATCTTGCTTAAAAAAATCCTAGAAAAGACTGGTCTTTTATTATTATTCTTATTCCAAATAACCCATGTGTAATTTCAAAGTAAAAGTAACACTGTCCTGCTGTATCTTCAGGCATATTTGGTTTTTCTCATGCCTCCTGAAACTCTGAAGTCTTTGTATCAAGACTGTGTTCTTCAATCATACATAATTTTATTAGAAAAAAAAAATGATTCACAATAGCACAGTGAATGACCTCCAGATTCCTTCAACTTTGAAAATCTGTTACTGTAACCTCATGAGAAATAAATCACTTTTATCGTTGCTTGAGCATGGAAGTGTTTATATGGAGGCACTTCCTGATTTAGACACCATATTCTTGGAAGATATCAATAAAGGGCTTGATCATCCAGCTGTTATTTATATTTACCT